TTACGCAGTATTTGGTTCCCAGAACCACGTCAATCTCATGACACACACCTCGGTCCGGAGGTAAGACCGGCGGGGTCTTTGGTGACGACGTCTTGAGATTCCATTACCAATAGATTGTACGGATCCGAGGAATCCGAGGGATCGACGATCCACTTCGTGCGCTCAGCACCCTCTTGGTGTCCTCCTGGAGAGCTTCATCCAGAAGCGACGATGAGTTAATTTCCTCGTTTGGTCGTATAATCACCACCTCGGCCTAATCACCTGCCTTCAAGGCAACTCTTCGAAGGGCATCTCGTCCAGCGCAAGAAGAGCATCCGCCGCGAGAATAGCCTTGAGGGTGAAGTCGCCGTCTTCCTTCCTCGTCCTACCGCTGACAAGCGTTTATAGCTGTGCGCTATTGTCTACGGTAGACACACCCTGGGTCAGGGTTGACGCGGTTTCAGACTAATAAACACCATCCGACAAGCAGTTGGGTATTTATGCATGTATTAGCTTTAGAATTACTACGGTTATCCAAGTAGTAAGGTACTATCGAATTCACAATAAAAAATTTCTTAGACATACATGGCTTAATCTTTGAGACAAGCGTATGACTACTGGCAGGATCAACCAGAGTATATCTTCTATACGTAAGAAGCATTTCGCCCCCAGCACAAAATATCAACAATGTAGCAGGTTGCAAAATACAATTTAACTGCCGAAGAACTCGATAGCCGCATTATAGTTTACTACCTTTCTCAAAGTCGAGATTTATAAGCCAGAAATCGTTTATATAGAGAGGTTTATATTCAAAATTTATACCTCGTACATCTGCTGGACAAATCTCGCAGTGCCCGCGCCAATAGCGCTTCTGCTTCCTAGCAGAGGTAGGTTCATGACTCACCAAAGCTCCACCAGGAGACGTGCGCCTATCGCCCAATATCTTTGACCTCCAATCAATCCATGGCTCATGGTGTTCCAGCCATTCCATACCAAGAATAAAGTCACACCTTGAATCCATGTCTAAGACTAATCAGCGTTCAACGCTATCAAAGTCGATAAATTTGACACCGAGGTCCGCACTCGCGTGTCTGAGACACCGTTACGTCCGGGACCTCGGCATAAGGACACAAGTCCCGTCGCTAAGCAAACACACTCAATTGCGCTTTCAGCGCCTCAGCATACAGTTAGCTCTCTTCGATTGTGGAGCGTCGAGCATAGTTAACCGACGCCCCGGAATCGATAAGGGTCTTCCGTGACTTCTCAAAGCCCTTCACGGTCGCTTTTATAACCAGTAAGCCCGGCTTGCATACACGTGTCGTGTTCAAGAGCACGGAGCGCTTCGGGGCTTGGCCCTGCTACCCACTACCTCATTGATGCCCAACAGAACTCAATTCTTCCCCAGTAAGGCGCCCCACGCCTACTGAGTTTTGTCGTTTCCCCGCAACAGCTAGGATTTAGACGTCGGTTGGATGAACCTTGACTCGCCTTGCGCAGGGACAACCAGTCCGAAGCTGACGGGTGTTTCCACAGACAAAACACCATCAGGTGTTTAAACTCTTCCTCAGCATAGCTTAGAGTCCATTGGCTCAGGCTCGCTTGACGAGCTCTGAGGGTGTGCATTTCACCAAGTCGTGTCGACATAAAAGCTGAATTCGGCAACCAATGCCACGTTTACCGCTGCTCCAAAGAAAACGGATGCACATGGAAGACTTCCACTCTGGCCACGTCAGTGCGGAGGCCTTCCATAAAGACGGTCACTATGACCGCCTCTGGGAGAGGATCGGCTGTCATTTCGGCAATGAGAGTTCGCAACTCTTGGACAAAGCCCACCAACTCCTTCTTGACCTGTTGGGCAGCACGGAAACGCGATCAAGCACGATATGCCTGGATAGGCGGCGAGAACACTCGCAAATGTTGACGCTTCAGCTCATTCCAGGATGAAAACGCCGCTTCAACCGAAGTACCAAACGTTAGTGCCCATTCTCTCGCTCGGTCCCGAGCTTGGAGATAGCTAGTGCCACGCGCTGTTGCTCGTTCTGGAGCATGGCGGATGTCATAGCCATTTTGGCCTATCTCACCCAGAGCAGAAGATTCTCTCCATCCTTACCCTCGACGATCTTAACGCTCGCCATGAGCGGCCTGGGTCGGGAGGAGTACTCCGTCGTCAACAATGAACAATCCTCTAAATATATAGAAACGGAAGCCTGCGTCTTGCATATCACATACGGCATCGCCGTCTCCTCTCTATAGAGGTTTTACGTCTTATCGAGACCGGTGGAGACACGCACTCAGTGTCATCGGTGCCTTGATTTTATTAACGACATCCGACGAAAAGCTGCTATTTTCGCAGTCTTTGTCCAGTGAATAACGTGCCACTCCACGCGCATCAGAAGGGCCTTGTCCAAGATGCATCAGACCTTGTCCGACCATGCCACTCTTGGCATGCAGCGACTTCTTCAATACTTGGGCAGGGTTTCGTGCCACTCTTCGTTCAGCCTGCAAATTACGGTCGGGACTCCTATCTAAAGCACCTTTGGTGTTTGACAGCTAGGATACTCCGATATCTAGCACATTGACCGTCCCGATTTGTGTCCAGAATAATGACGTTCTTTAGACAGTTCTATTACTGCATGGCTTTGCAAAATATCAAGCACAACGTCGACGATCATGTGAGTACTCGCCCTCGCCTGTAATTCTTGCTAAAATCGGTCATGTTCATATGAATTTTGATTGCTCGACAGTACAGTCAAGTAATAGGCTGTGCAGTCGACTAGCATGGATAATTGTAGTCAAATTCTAAGCTGCTTCTACTCCAGGATTGCGACATGGGGGCATTCGTATTGTTTCAAAAGGAAATGGCAGCATAACTTTGCATGAAAAAATCTCCATCGACGACAGCTTAACAAGTAGCGTTTCAGCGTCATCATCTATCTGAATGGACAGGTTTTCTGTGTTCTTCCAATAGACATATTTAATAACACAAAGAGGTTGTATGACTCAAAATAGCGATAAGTCGACTTTGCACGACACATCTGTCTTGCTCGTTATCGAAGCCTCGAATGCCGTTCTCAATGAATAAAGCAAAGTATAATAAAATGAGTCGGAATTGTAACTCAAGTACCAACTTATCTTTGACAATCATAACAGCTGTTCGCTCTGCGGTACCATCCAGTCAATCTAACGGTTCAGCTTTCTGAAATTCTTCAATTTTATTCTACTTAGTGTATGTCTTCTTTGGAATCTTCAAAATATAAACAAAAGACGATCGGCCTATAAGGTGTAAACTTTCGACAAGCTTCGTAAGCATCCACTTCAACTTTGGATCAATTGTGGTCTATGTCCATTTCTCGATATGCATGGTCAAACTTTTTTTTGACAGAGGCATCATCTCTACCTCTGTCTGTTTGTTCGTCGACGATACCAACATTAGTATCTCTGCTTTATTAAGCATAGTCCAAGTCGTAAAATGTAGCCATGATGAGCATGGTGCCATCATGCCATTCATTTTCGCGTGCTTTTCACCTGGACACTTGTACTTGTTAGTAATATAGGATTTGAGGGTTCTCAACTGCAGTATGCGTACGTAACAACGCAAAAACGGTTTGTTCGTGTGCCTGACCGACAAAAATACTCGGTACACCTTCGATTATGAGCATCTTTTACCTGCAGCAGTGCGATGAAGACGTCTGACGATTGCATAAGGTATTTAAGAACTCTATCATGAGGAGTAGACCCGGCGGCGTCCTTAACAAATATAGTCAAACAGGTAAGCTTTGACCTGGAGTGGTATCGGACATTGATCAACCGGAAGACCGAGCAAATTATAGGCTTAGAAGGCCGCCATGTCGACCAGTGGATTGTCGAAAGCGCTTTATTCATAAATAATATATACGATCCTGCACAAGGCGTACACAGGCTGTGATGTTAATTCATCATATCTAAATTTTGCACCACTTGCCAAGCTGATTTGTATTTCAGTGCATGAGGCTATTTGCTTCGGCATTCCACATCCACATTCACGGCAATCTGAGATGAAAATGTTGTCGACTTGATGTTACAGTGTACAAGTCTAGATACGACGGAGATCTATATGAATCATTTTTGGTGGGAAATGATGATATAAAGGTACTAAATATGATGAAGTCGACAATTGAGAGCCAGATGAAATGATTCGTCTTGATACAAAGCTTTGCAATTTGTGCAATCACATCGCGGTGATTGCTAAGGCCGCAATTCTATCTGTTGTAAAGGCAAGCTAATGGATGCAGTCCTCACTACGCCAAGAACAATGCGGTGAAGTTCAGGCTACTTTATGAAATATAAGGCCTTACAGTAAATGTTAGTAGAGCACTTCGTAGCGCGTTGCCCGTTTGATTTTTGCTTGTCGTATTGTTCTATCTGATGTATGTGCTGTCTGCTATTTTTTCTGATAATTAAAACAATAAAGATCGAGTGCAGCTCTATATCAGGCAGACGTGCCAACGACGCACGTGTGCCATGTTTCGAGCTGACTTTCAAGGCACGACGGGCGACAGCTGAGTAAAAATATGGACCCAATTACTTACTACACATTACAGTAAACATGTGGTAAGGTATATATAATCTGAATACCTATAGACATTCGAGCAAGACCTAGCGAATACCAAAGAAGAGCGTCAATCGCTGCGTTGAGAACTGCATTCGGCTTTGTTAAAGAAACTGACTGCTTAAGGGCCTGTCACCACCAAAAGCTCAACCGTCAACAAATAGATGGAAGGCTATCTGCTCGTTTTTACCAAGGAGTGTAGCGCAAAAGTACAATTCTGCGTACTGGAGCATGGCATGTTGCACTGCTTCGACAAGCCAGGTGGAATGCTGCATGAGTCTATAGGACTCACGAGGCACCGCATTCGAGTGCAACCACTATACACGGACAATGCCGGCGTGTGTCCGAACCGGTTTGCGGTGCACACACTCGAAGTCAAGCGCAACGATCAGGCAGGCGCATTTGTGGCGGCAGGCAAGTGCGAAAAGTCTTACTATTTCGCCGCAGTCACTTCAAAAAGTATGATGAAGTGGGCCAACGCCATATACAACTGGCGACGCCATGGCTTTGACGACCCGACTAGCAGTGCACTGTCTGTTCTCGACGCGATCACTAACAAGGCCATGAAAACTCCCATAGCTAAAAGGCGTTCAGTCTTGCTGGAGACGCAACGAATTAATCTCGTGAACTTGGCAAATCGATTTGATGTGAGGCTTGTGACGATGAGCTCAAATGCCACCAAAAAGACCTGTGGAGTATTTAAAAGACCGTTGCTTTGCGTTACGTCCAGGTATACAGACGCAAATATCATAGCAGCCAGATCCAGTTTTACCGTCATATCTTGGCTGCCTGGTTTGCCAGGAAGGTAAAAAATCGAATCTAATGGCTACGATGTTTCCACTTCTAGCTGTAATAGTTATAAAAAGTGTTAGTTTCAAGTGGCAAGACCCAACAAACAAGTGTTAGATCAGCGTCCAAATTTGAGGTGTCACGTAGTACCCTATCAAAGAGCAATAACAAACTCTTTTGCTCTTCCATTTCTCGACCTAATCAAAGCCGCGAATTGTATTCATCGGATTACAGGTAGAGGCCTTCAGGAATGTTCGCCTTTTTCTTGTACAGCGCTTTCTCCTTCGCCTTCCGAAAGTCTGATTGTGTTACACGCATACGGCGCTCGCGTAAAGCAAGCAAACCAGCTTCCGTGCAAACAGCCTTAATGTCAGCTCCAGAAAGCTCGTCCTTAGACATGACAAACTCTTCTAGATCCACATCTTCTGCTAGACTCATGCGACCAGTGTGGATGCCGAAAATACGACGCTTGGTCTTTATGTCTGGTAGCGGAAACTCAATCTGCAAGGATTCAGTTGTAAGATTAATTTTGATGTAATGCAGGAAATCGTATGATAGTACTCACCTTTCTGTCAATACGTCCAGGACGAATCAGAGCGGGGTCAAGACTTTCGATGGCATTTGTAGCCATAATAACTTTTACGTCACCACGCTCATCAAATCCATCCAGTTGATTCAGCAACTCAAGCATCGTACGCTGAATTTCGCGAGTACCCCCGCTGCTTGAGTCGTAACGCTTGCTTCCGACAGCATCAATTTCATCGATGAATACTATAGAGGGCGCGTGATCGTCTGCGACACGGAACATTTCTCGAACAAGCTTCGGCCCGTCGCCAAGATACTTTTGAATGAGCTCGGATCCGACAATACGAAGAAATGTCGCTGATGTCTGGTTGGCCACAGCTTTTGCCAGCAACGTTTTGCCTGTACCTGGCTCACCATATAGAATAACTCCTTTAGGCGGACGGATACCGATGCCTTCATACAGCTCTGGGTGTGTAAGTGGTAACTCTACTGCCTCTTTGATCTCCTGAATTTGTGACTCAAGTCCACCAATATCGGCATACGATTCAAGAGGCGCTTTGTCCACCTTCATAACACTCACCATGGGGTCCGCATCGTCCGCCAGGATACCTACAACCGACATGACCTTATTGTGCAGCAATACCGAGCACCCAGGCTCGAGCATATCCTGATTCACAAACGACATGACACCCACATAATATTCAGGACCTACTGATGAGGACACAATGGCATGATTGTCGTCGATCATCTCCTCGAGCGTGCCAACACCCATAGGTGTGCCACGTAAATCGTCCACCTTGGAACGTTCCTCTTCGTCTTTTTCCTGCTTAGGCTTCATAACCTCTTGGTTCTGGATAAATTCTTGTTCCATCAGCAAAAAGTCTTTAATTCGTTCCATTTTAAGAAGGCGCAGCTTGCATTTCGCCGTTGGGTACACGGTCGGAATGCGCACGGCGGCGGATGGGCCTTTTTTCTTGCGGCGTTTGCGTGTCATGGCACCTCCACGGGGCTCAAACTTTTTTTTCTTTTGCTTAGCCGCATCTTCCTTTTTCTTGGCAGCTTCCTCGCGCGTCTGGCGAGGGAGACCGCTCTGGCCCTGACCCATTTCTTAGACACTTGTTTTTTGTGGGAAAGATCTTTCTCCAAAACTTCGCATTCAAGAATAACATTCATATTCCAAAAAATAAAACGTTGGGCTTATTGCTATGTAAAATATTACAAATCCAAACATTATATTTAAAAAGTGGCAAATACCGTCCGGCTATAAAATTTCTGACCCATGTTATGTTAATAAAGCGAATTTAGGGACTGAACGTGAGGAGAACCGTTAGGAATCGCCTTTCAACAGTACAGCCACCAGAGGGAACTAATCTGTTAAAATTGCACTTACCAAGAATCGCAATTTGAGGACCGGGACATCCGTTTGGCATATCACCTCGAAAACTTTACAGGATGGAATTCCTACGAAGCGTATTCCTGCGCTTAATTGTTTCGAGTTTAGTGGCATAAGGGCTGCGGCTCAAAAAATATCGCCGAACTTAACATTCTTATCTGAGCATTTAACGAGTGGAAAAATAGGTGGAGGAGATCGAGGTAACTCTCCCCGAAAATCGATGAGTAACAATATCATTTACTAAGCCACACCAAAAGCTGCCCTTTTAGCTGCAGTTTTTCTTTAGAAGTCACTCATTCTGGAAGCCTACTATGAGCCAAAGCAAGCCATGGTGCTTATGCAAGCCATCACTCTCATCGTACTTTGCGTGAAGTTGTGAGCAGCCAGGCTTCTTTGTATTGGTGAATATAGATGATTGTTCAGAAGCGAAGGCAATGGGATGAGCACGGTATGACCGAAGCGAATTCACTTGTGGAGAAGAATAGAAATTTAAAGGGGATCGGTCTATATGGGCTTACAAGCCAGTCTGTAACCAAGCATTCGGGTCATCCAGTCAACGAGCACCCGTCCAATCATCACACACGCCCGATCACGCGTGGTGGACTAACGTACGATAATAATCGCACAATTGGATTAAACTGACAAACCTTAATGCGCCACCTTGATACGAACACGTAGGTCGGCAGAAAATACTTGCGACGCAATCCTGGCATGGTCTTTTTCATCACCTTTGCCAGCAGCACAAAAATCTCGAGCTCGACTTCACCATGTTAGGCTTCATCACGATGCCTCAAGATGATGATGTGCTCGCGGGTCCATGATTCACGATGTTCTAATGCTCGACAGACTATCGTTGCAAATTTTGAGATTAGGTTCTGATTCACCTGCTGCTGCCAAAGAAACTCTCGAAGTAGAGGGTGAAATAATTTGCCTTCTTTAATGAACAGATGCTGCGCAACGTGGCCCGCCTCGCTTATAAACAGTGATATGCTCGACTGTTTCTTGCTTTATCAACTCACAGTTGCGCTCATCTGCAGATCCGTGTGGCTTGAAGTTGGCTTGCGGTCGAAGAGATCGCCAGCCTTATCTGTATCAGAGAATATGCGGGCGTCCAAGCAAAAAATTAATGTAGTGGGATTTAGTGGTTGTAGATATCAAAAAATGCGGTCTATTGCTCGACTTGAGATTTTCGAGCAAACGCTTTATAAAAATCACTGCGAATGCGATGTCCGGATGTGTCGCGGTCATCAAGTGCATGGGTGCACTAACTCTCTCTGGAAATGAAGCATTTGCCTTGGTCGACCCAGTGCGTATTCCGTTCATCACTCAGATATAATCTATTGACGTTTTGGATATGCATTTAGGTCTTCTCCTTAAACATTAATCAAGCTGGGTCTTTCTGCATGGTATTTCTTGCCATCCAAAACTTACGATTTGGCTTTCTGACAAGCATAAACATCAATTCAAATTTGGTTAACGAAATTATTTTGATATATCATGACTTGAGGTGAAGACAGAAATGTTTTTTTCGCAAATATCTTATGACGTGCTTCCAGATCACTCCATATAACTCCAATTTTTTCTAACTCCATCCACTTTGTAGCCCATTTACTTTCCCGCATGTAGAGAAGCGTTTCTTCCAAACCGCACGCCCCGCTGAACATTATAGAGCGGTGGTATCTGTTGAACTAAATCGGTGGCCCGATACGCTACTTCTGCGCAAATTGCTGTAAATGACAGATAGGAAGGAAGGACCTGGTGGTTTGAAGGTGAGTTTCCAAGTAAATGTATTATGCTTGAAGCTGTGTAGTCATGCAAATGGTTGAGAGTTTCATAACCCCTCCTGGTTATGAAACCTTAACTTGTTTCCAACACTCCTCCCTCGGTGTGCTTTACATCGTCCACGAGGCCACAAAGCGCGCGGAGTTCTCCAAGTTTATTCGCCGACAAAGCCTTTGTCATTAAATCGGCTTTTATTTCTTCGCTCTGTACGTATTTCACCTCTAACATTCCGTTTCTGATACGTTCTTGTACATATTTATAGCGTATATCGACATGCTCGAGTTTAGATGTCGAACTTTCTTCTTTCAATTGCACTATAGCTGCTTGGTTATCGACAAAGAGTAACCAGTTATGGATCCCTTGAATGCCAACTTCATCCAACATATTGTAAAGTTCATGTAATTCGGTTGCTACGACCGATGCCGCTATGAATTCAGACTCTGCCGTTGATTGCGACACTGATGTCTGTTTTTGACATATCCATCCGACATTACACCGTTCTACAAATATTACTCCTCCAATCATGGATTTGCGGTCCTCAGTGTCCGCAGCGAAGTCTGCATCGCTGTAGCCGGTGATAAAACCATCAGGTAAGTCTTCAGTTCGCTCTTGCTTTCTCATCTTCAACTTTAAACATTTTGTTTCCCTTAAATATCGTAGAATTCTTTTACCAATTTGTAAGTCTTGTCCCCTTATCCATGGGTTCTTCTCGTCATCTTATGAACGGCAAATGACAAGTCTGGACGCGTGCAACGCGAAATCCACAAAATACTCCCCGCTCGTGACCTAAACCTATTTAGATCGTGCAATTTGGGGCTGAATTCGATATGTGAATGCCCAGAATCAATTGGAATTCTTGTCATTTTTGCGTCATTCATTCCATATTGGTTTCAAAGCTCACCAATAAGGTTTTCTTGATCGAGAAAATAATCTTCTTCGTGTTTGATGATTCTCATTCCAAAGAACTTGTTAACTTCTCCCAAGTCCTTAATTTGTAAGCTTTTCAGCGAATCAAACAGCTCGTTCACTAAGTCGTCATTGATCCCAGTGACCAATAAATCATCCACGTATATTCCAACGAGTAATGTTCCACGATCATCTTTCTTATAGAGTAAACATGGTTTAACGATCGATTGCTTCAATCTCAAATCGATCAATTTTGTACTAAGTAACCGATTCCATAATCTACCGTAAAGGCTTTGAAGTAGTAACAATACGATTTCGTCTGCAGAG